TAATAATAATAATAATAATAATAATAATATAGAACATATACAACAACGAAAGCCTACGAATGCTCAGCGAAGATACTACAGTAACAGTACCTAGTGTGTATGTGTGTGTGTGTGGGTGTGATTTGTAATTGCATTAACTACATAATTATATTATTAATTATAGTTGAATTACATAAAATTGTGTATGCGATGATTGATGAAGATCGTGTCTGTTTCGCGTTTCATTATGCTGATAAAATTCCGACATTGATAAAAACAATAATAACAGTAATAACAATAACGATAATGATAATATTGGCCGTATATATTTTTGGTCGTCGTATAATATTTATGCGGGAAACGAAAAAAAAATCAACAACAACAACATCTAGAGAACGAAAAAAAAAAATCAAATCAAATGCACTATATTCACTAACAAAATAATAATAATAATAATATAATATACCGAAATAAAAGCCAATCGCTTTCGACTCGAGCCTTATATAATAATATTATAAGACACCGTCGTCGAGTTGTTCGACCTCACATCGTGTCACTACGTGTATATAATAATATAATAATAATAAATCGATTTATTGGGAAATAACGCCGTACAACAAACGTGGTGTTATGTGTGTGTGTGTGTGTGTGTGTGTGTGTGTGTGTGTACATACATAATATATATGTATATAAATATTAAATATGTGAGTATATATTGAATACATTATATTATGTATAATATAAATATGAATTGTAATTTATAGTTTATAACATTGCCAAAAGTGATTGAAACGAATAAATAAACGCATCGAAACGTTTTCCGGACGAGACGTCCGGTGCCGCTCCGAGCCGTCTCGTCCCGAAACGGTCGTTATAAAAAATAATAATTAATGTTGACGCGCAATAACAATATTGATTTGTCGCCGCCACGAATTAACACAACATAACATTATCATGTTTGAAAAAATATAATAAGTGTATATTTCGCTTTTCTATTATCGTATAATATTGGCTGCGGGAAGTGTCCAGGCCGTCCACCGCCGGCGCAGCGTCTAGGATGTCAGAAGTTTGAAAAACATCAGCGCCAACGATATGTTGACGATCAATATCACCAACACCAACTGTTGCCTCGTGAACCAATCCTGTAACGAAACGAAACGCAAGTTTAATGCAAAATATTGTATGGTCGTCGTGGGTAATAATAAAAATAATTATTATTATGCCGCCGCCGCCGCCGTGTAGGTGCCCGCACGCACACACCCGAGCACGCACGCACATTGACGCTCGAAGGACCTTTGAGGTGGGCGAGAAATTCCCCGGGGGCAAAGGCTGACATTTTCATGTTTTTATATTTTTTTCGAACCCCGTAGTAATATTAATTCGGTGTAGTGCAGAGTTCGCCAGACGCGCCATGTATTACGCACTCTATTACAATAATTTGTTTTGAATAATATCACGATGACGAATACTTTCTTATTTATAATACTACGATAGTCCGGCGTTTGTCACCCAAACCTAGAGGGTCATACTTACTAGGGGTACATTTTGGCGCTGCACTCGTTTTCGACAACATTTTTTACCCCAAAACAATTGACCACCCGATTGATCACATCCAATCCGGAGATGGGCACTGACGACATCATTTACTTACATATTATTATACATATTTTAAATTTTAATCTTATGTAAGCCAAACGTCGGTAGTACAAACCGTCGAATATTCGATAACGATGATATAATTATATAATATTATTCGGTGTATTTAATTCAATTACAATAATCTTTTTGGTAGATTATGTCTTCTTTAAATATTTAAATAGGTAGGGAACCTACAGTTTGACAGTGAACCACGAGTCCATGACCTTGTAGTCAGTCGAATCGTTAGTCGAAGGCGTAGTTCGGAAAATAAATTTAAAACTACTCAGGTAAAGCATCTGTGTGCAAACGAATTTACTTTTCAGGGGAGGTTTTCATCAAGGGGGTAGCTAATTCAATGTATGTGCACAGCCGAGTCGTGTCTTTTAGCGCAAACGAGTTGGAGCCGTATTTGTGCAGAAGGGTTTGGGGATGGTGGTTGGTGTGAGAAGGGCAAAGATCGCGCGGGTATTTACTTTTTTATTTTTCGTATTATTAATACTGTCAACGACACTCTGTACTTAAAATATTTCTGATTTAAGCAGATAAAGCTCATTAGGTAGGTACTGAGAATTTAATTATCTTCTGCTATTTTCCATCGTTGCTATTATCGCCTATTCGTTCACGTCTCTTAGTATTATTGGATTGAAAAGTGCCCTTAGACGAGTGAACAAAGAATGACCAGATCCACATAGAGCTATAGAAATATACATCGTAACTCAAAAATATAATAAAAATTGATATACACGGGTATTGGGCAATCATAGACATAACATATTTTGTCAAAGAAAGGTTCGTGTTACTTTGAATAGAAATTCCTTTTAATATCGTGTCTTACAGTTGTATGCATCGTAACAGAAAAAATAAAAATAGATATATTTGTCAAAATAAGATTCACGTCTCGTTACCACGAATATTCCTTTGTATACTATGTTTTACAGTTTCAGATAAATATCGTAGGTTAGAATATATATCGTTTAATTTCGTTAAGCTGTTTATTAAAGACATATGTCTCCTCGAGATCAATATTCTAAGAGTCTATAGGTAGTTAATAGGGATTATATTTCTAATCCAGTTACAATATTTGTACCAGCATGACAGTAACGATTCATTAAATACATTTAATACACTTCAATATTATGACTTTATTAAATTTACGATTCAATAGGTATTAATTAAATGATATTATACCTAGGTACTGGTTATTCTACAAAAGCTCTTAACAACCATATACTACAATTTAAACGATTAAACTACATAATATATTATAATATTATGTTATATTTATGTTATACTTTGATAACTAGGAAGCAATAATGGTTATAATATGTTTCATTCAATTTAAAACTTTTAGAAAATAATTTTTACAGTGTTTGTATATAAAAATATATAAGATATATTTGTGTATTTATGGACATAATTATAATTGCATAAATTATGTTCTTCGGAGGCCATACGATATGATTCAGTATATTGTTAGTTTTGTGCGGAACATAACAATCGAGGATGTTACACAGAAGTACATCACACAGAAACCATTTATTGTTTTGAAAAGAAACCAACATGGAACAAATGATTGTGAGCATGAAACCAATTACAACTATGTAATAACAATATTAGCTATGTACATATTACGTATTATATGGTATGGTATATTATGTATACAATATGCATGCAACGCATTCAATTATTGTTTTAATTTCACGTCCATAATAATATATCGTTATCGTGTTTTATAAAACTTGAGTAGGCACATTAAATAACTAAAATAGAATGTTCCTCATTAATTACGAAGAAAAAAATATGTACAAAAAAAAAGGCAATATGTGTCTAATTATGATTTACGAATGGATAACAGTCGTACAATGAATAAAGTATGAAGTAATGTTGGTGCGATATTAATTTTGTACTCAATAGTGCTGATGAGGTACATGAAATAAATGTGGATAAATGTTGGTGTATTTAAATTAAATCAAGAATAAAATTATTATGCTGAGTAGCTGGATGTAAGGAGAAATATTTTTTATAAAATTGAATTTAATACAAAATTAATTAATACTAAGTATATTTGGGTAAGAAATATCTATAGATTTGCGGTCAAATAATTTTGTCATTTGTAGTATGAGGAGTTGGTTGTAGCCGATTTTTTCACATGCACTATTTGATAATTAAAACAATAATTTATAATTTATATTTTTATAAATATTTGAAAAAGGCCACGGAGGGGGGGGGAGGTCCATAAACCCTTCATCTATACCACTGTTTATCTTATCACCGGATCATTGTATTAAAATCCCTGAGAATTCGAAATAAATCCCGTTCCCGTTCGAAAATCAAAATTGTAGATACGTATCTAGAATATTCTGTGTTTCAAATAGGTATGGAACAATAATGGCGAATGTTATCGCCATCTTTTGAAATAAACTACATAATGGGGCACAATGAATTGTTGATGGAAAAAAAGCAATAAATACTAAATACTGTTGACGAAGAATCCCACTCAAAGAAAAATTACAAATTATTTCAAACTATTATCACTTATTATTCATTTTTATTTAATTTGTATTTTACATTATGTATTTATTTAATTACCTCTGTATATCATACAAATAATAGCATTACAAATAATTATACAGGCTAATAATTAACTCCTACAGTATACCCTTTAAATCAAATTTTTCTCTCAATCCTCAAAAACCTTAGAAAGTGGCGTTTTCTCCGAACTTTGACTCATCGAGATTCCACTGCGTAGTATTATTTCAAATTCCAAATTTAATAACATACAATTTGACACAGCCAAATAAAATCGTACTGTCATTGTAGGTACATACACATTGGACAAACGGAATTCCAAATTGGATCAATTGAACGCGTCACGGTTGCATAAATTAATACAGTCGAGTTACAATAACTGTAGAAGTCGGTCAGAGACGAACATCGCTTCGAAATACTGAGTATTATTTGAGATGCCCAAACCGAGTTTAACCTAACTTACCCCCAAGGGTAACAAAAAAAAAAACCAAGTTTGTCAAGTTACCGTGGTTCAAGTTTTCCCGACTTGACTGTATTTACTATTTATATTGTGGCAATATTTTTTCGCTCTCCAGTAGCTGTTTAAAGATTGAGGTGAGCATCTCGAAATCGTTATCATCTTGTGTTAATGATAATATTGTTGGCCGACGTCGAGGGGAAGTCGCCTGTGTTTGATAGCGGTGGTTTGTATGCAATCACCCCCCCCCCCACTGTTTGGTCTTTGCCTGGTTATATTGAGTCGATGGGACGTCGTCGGCTTTTGAACGTATAATACGCTTAAAGTACCTATTATAATAATATTACTATGCTGTTTTGGCGTTTTTTGTGACATTTTTTCCTTGTCTTTCGGTCGGTGAACCCGTCTCACAGCCACCGAAAAATATGTACGAAGTAGGTACCTGGTACGTAGGTATAATACCGCGGAATAAACTCTCCCCAAAAACGTAATGATAAAGAAGTCGAGATAACGTGAATGTGTTGACACACAAAAAGCGGAAAATTACGTTATCGTAAACATTTGACGATATCAAAATACGAACCAGTGTTGGAAATTCAATACAATAAACAAAACGTATTCGTCAATACACCGAGACGTGATATTTACCGTAAAGATTTGCAGTTTTCCCCTTCGGTCCCGCGTCATGGTACACGGAGCCGTACTTGGGTTGGTACAATACCTTAGATGTATATAAATATATATCGTACGCCGTGTACAGAGTGCACTTTCCGCCGCATACGAAAAATATATGAGCTATCGGGGGAGGAGGGGGGAGGGGGTGCAAAGTCGTCCAATTATCTGCTACGTTTTTTTTTTTCTATACATTTTGATGATGGATGGTAGCTATTGGTTTTGCAATACGTGTCTTTCTGTTTGTTTTATTATTTACCGAAAGTCACTTTACGTCGGGCAGTCAAAAAAAAAAAGTAGGTATATAACTACTCATGCAGGCGATTCACGTGCTGCGTGGTATATATCAGTCGAATGCAAACAAACTTCGGAAAGGTAGCTTTTAAGGTTACCGCCGAGTGAGTAGTTATAGAAAAACAGATATGTATAATAATGATGTGTACGTAAGTCTTAAAGTTTGTTTAACAATAAATGTCGTGGTAGTACAAGGACATATCATTAAATATTAAGTAAGAATTGTTCATGACGTTGACAACGCCGCCGTCTATCTTACAATAAATATTATAACGTCAAGTTTGCACCAACGATGAATATTTTTTTAAATTTTTAAAAATTGAACAAACAGTCAAACGCCTATAAAAATATCACGCAAAAAATTAGACGTGTAAAAGAAGGAAAAAATTGTCAAAGAAAATAAAATGTCTAAGCCGTTTGGAGCTATACCTATCTATTATGATGCTTTTACCCAAGCGTCATCAAATATTTGTCCATCACTGATTAGCACTTCATCCGATCCGCATTAAATAAACAAAAACTGCAAATTGTAAATTTGTAATGCATATATAT